TAACAGATGAAGTTGAGAGACTTATGTTATATAGGTATGCGTGAGTGATCACCTTCCCTAGAGATTTTATATGATGATTCTGCAGTAAAAGTAATTCGTAGTTGGTAGATTTATTCTTTGTGTCCATTATAATTTATAAGTCAATGTCATTGCTACAATTTGAGGTTTTGGTGATAGACTCTGTTGCAATTTTCCGCAGATGAAATCCTTGTACAATTTTCGTTCTTGTATAAGTTAGGAAAGTAATGTTGATTTTATCGACCAATATGGAATCACTAGATCAGTTATACTTGTTATATCTTGATCATCAAGTATACTACATCCTAATTATTTAGCGTCAACAATTGAGAACCACCTTCGCAATAATCAGAAGGGTTTTAAGTTTACTGTGAACTATGTGCATAATGCTCTTGTAGCACTGTTTCCTGCCGGTTGATTATAAATTTGGTTGGTGCTCCACTTGAATTCATATGTTTTTATCTTTATTGCCACTTGGGCATTTTCTTCTGCTTTAGGGTTTACTAGCAAGGGTGCCCGAGCGATGCCGTAGGTTTTAAAACTGTATAAAATATGTGGATAGTTCTAAGAAGACATAGGAAAGACAATATTATTTACATACATGTGGAAATCTAAATTATGGTATGTACTGTTTGTTTAGCAAGTTTAAGTTACAAAGAATAGATTAACATGTTCTACATGCCAAGCTATGTGCAAAAAACTATTACAGCCTACAAAAGAGAGATAAATAACCTGTTTTATATGCCAAGCAGTGTGTGAAAAACTATTAAAGCCCTTTCCAATAACAGTCATATCAGTGTAGATAAATGGCAAAACATATATGTGAAAATAACACAACAAAACATATATTTGGTTTTTACTATGGATTACAACAATGAAAATAAGTTGAGGAGTATCGCGTTATCTAAACAAAAAAAGGAAGCAAAACCGGGTACTCACCAAAAGAGTATATCATGCACGATAACTAAACAACATCATAACAAACCAATAATACCATTTTTTTCAATGCTTGTAGACCATACGGATATCAATCAGCCTAGAATTTTACATGTGCCAAATGTGGATTATTATATCAATTGAGGAAATAAATAGTATTCATAAGCCTCTCGTGGGTCACCACGAGATTACCTCTTTTATATAACTTAGCTTCTGCTAGCAGGGGCGGCAAGGCTTTCCATTGGAAGCCTAAGAAGAGGTATGCTCAGCACGGAGGATCCGTTGAGAGTTTCTGTTGTCTCGGTAGGGAATTGTATGATCTTAAGGTAGTTTACTTGCATACTTGTTAGGGTAAGGTGAAACTATTGTCTTTTTTTCTTTTCTTTTCCTTTGATCTATGAGAATTAGTTTTCAATCATTCCATCTAACTATACATACTTTTTAGTAAAAAACGATGGGAGAGAAATAGGAGAGATCCTAGTCAGTAGCATGATAAGAGAAAATCATCTTATACGCATGCATGTACATTCCGCAAACATAGAGTTATACACCCTGATATTCTCTCTGAACAGTACACTTTTTTGGCCTTTACTTGGATCAAATAAATTTTCTATTAAAAAAAGGGGTGTTGGCTTCGGAATCGGAAGTTTGAACTTTCCTTGTTGACAGCAAAGAGTAAAAAGAGACTCATTTTTCTTGGATTTTTCCTTAATAGATTCTTTGAGTACTCACCAAAAGAGTATATCATGCACGATAACTAAACAACATCATAACAAACCAATAATACCATTTTTTTCAATGCTTGTAGACCATACGGATATCAATCAGCCTAGAATTTTACATGTGCCAAATGTGGATTATTATATCAATTGAGGAAATAAATAGTATTCATAAGCCTCTCGTGGGTCACCACGAGATTACCTCTTTTATATAACTTAGCTTCTGCTAGCAGGGGCGGCAAGGCTTTCCATTGGAAGCCTAAGAAGAGGTATGCTCAGCACGGAGGATCCGTTGAGAGTTTCTGTTGTCTCGGTAGGGAATTGTATGATCTTAAGGTAGTTTACTTGCATACTTGTTAGGGTACGTAAGGTGAAACTATTGTCTTTTTTTCTTTTCTTTCCTTTAATCTATGAGAATTAGTTTTCAATCATTCCATCTAACTATACATACTTTTTAGTAAAAAACGATGGGAAAGAAATAGGAGAGATCCTAGTTCAGTAGCATGATAAGAGAAAATCATCTTATACGCATGCATGTACATTCTACAAACATAGAATTATACACCCTGATATTCTCTCTGAACAGTACACTTTTTTGGCCTTTACTTGGATCAAATAAATTTTCTATTAAAAAAAGGGGTGTTGGCTTCGGAATCGGAAGTTTGAACTTTCCTTGTTGACAGCAAAGAGTAAAAAGAGACTCATTTTTCTTGGATTTTTCCTTAATAGATTCTTTGAACCAAAAAAGTGCACCACAGTAAATGCAATTATAATTCTCATCTCCCAAATCCACATATTCTTCAATAATTCCTATAAAGAAAAGAAATGTGGAATGGAGAGAATAGAAGACACAAATTTAGGCTATTAGTAATAGAACAATACAGTTCAAATATAGGAGAAAAAATTTTGAGTAAAAAAGAAAACCTACTTTGCTTGTTTCTCTAAAAGAAGGGCTGACCCCTATTGATTTGATCAGAATTGTCAAATTCGATCTCATCTGCAGTTTTTTGAACTGTATTCATATTGCTACAGGATACATTGTCAACACATTTTTGTCATTGTTCTGGGCTTGAGAATTTTTTTATGGCTGGTCATATAATTTTTTCGGCCTTGATGTTTATTTTCATTGTTAGCATGACAAACATTTTCAGTAAGAAATTCTATCCCAGCTGAAGTGCCAAAACCACACTCTTGCTGCATCACCAAACTTTCTTTGGCAAATCTAGGGCTTTTAGGCAACATATGAGTTTGACAATTGTTTTTATAACTGGCCCTACAATTTTTTTTTTGTCTTGATGGTTATGCTCATCACTAGCACGACAAACATTTTTATCAGAGATTTCTATACCATTTGAAATGGCAAAACTATGGGCTTCTTGTATCATCTGATTTCTTTTGCTATCAAGAAGAGTAAACCGGGGGCAATTTCATCATTTCACTGTGCTTAAGAATAGTAGCTGGTTGGATTGGGTTTTAGTATATATAATTTAGCTTTTGGGGTTTTGTACCTCTTTGGATTCATAATTGGATTATTAAGCAAGAGTGATCATCAGGGACCATATGGAAACATAAGATACCAATAAAATTTGTCATTACTTAATCCCATACAACAACATTTTTTAATTAAAAATCATCATCAATTAACATCAAAATCACAATCAAATTTATAAACGTTTCAATGGCCACCACCCACCAAGGGAGCGGATCCGCTGTCCCCAATTCCCTTATATGTTCCCTTTCTAGTTATTTGACACTTGTCCACCCATTAACTCCAAAACTAACACCGTTAACTTTCAACAAAATTAAATCAGACAAAAAACCTAAAACTAAACGAAAAAACAAATGCCAGCCCCCTTCAACCTTCTCCCTTCCCTTCCCTGACCTCTCTTCCCTCAGCCGTCAGTCCCCGCCACACAAGACAAGACCTCTCCTATACCCACTCTTCACGTTCTTCAAATTCCCTCACGACCCAAACTCCCTCAAACATGATAGGACCCAGCTATCTCAACCTTAACTCTATGCTTGAACAGGAAACCAATCTTGATATTATTCTAACAATCCAAAATACAAGCTGTAACCACATTCAATTCTTCCCCGAAATGACACAGAAAGTAAATGATAAAGCATCAGCCAAATGGATAAGCATTAGAGTGTTCAATCCAATAATTAAAGGGGAAAAATAAATGCTTTCCTGGATGTTATTCCATGAGACTTCTAATTTCATGACATAAAATTATACGAAGGAACCGTAAGATGAATTTGACTGTTCAAGAGTCCCAGAACATGGCAACAGAGATAACTCCAATGCCAAACAACACAGCCAAAAACTTGAAATGGGGTTTGTCATTGATGGTTATGCTCATCACCAGCACAACAAATATTTTCATCAGAAATTTCTATATCATTTGAAATGGCAAAACTATGGGCTTCTTGTATCATCTGATTTCTTTTGCTATCAAGAACAGTAAAACGGCGGCAATTTGATCATTTCACTGTGCTTAAGAATAGTAGCTGATTGGATTGGGTTTTAGTATATATAATTTAACTTTGGGGGTTTTGTACCTCTTTGGATTCATAATTGGATTATTAAGCAAGAGTGATCATCATGGACCATGTAGAAACATAAGATACCAATAATAATTTATCATTACTTAATCCCATACAACAAATTTTTTTAATTAAAAATCATTATCAATTAACATGAAAATCACAATCAAATTTATAAACGTTTCAATGGCCACAACCCACCAAGGGAGCGGATCCGCTGTCCCCAATTTGGTGTCTCTTCTATATCCCCTTTCTAGTTATTTGACACTTGTCCACCCATTAACTTCAAAACTAACACCGTTGACTTTCAACAAAATTAAATCAGAAAAAAACCTAAAACTAAAGTTAAAAACAAATGCCAGACTCCTTCAACTTCAACCTTCTCCCTTCCCTTCCTTGACCTCTTCCCTCAGCGGTCAGTCCCCGCCATACAAGGCCTCTCCTATACCCACTATTCACGTTCTTCAAATTCCCTCACGACCCAAACTCCCTCAAACATGATAGGACCCAGCTATCTCAACCTTAACTCTATGCTTAAACAGGAAACCAATCTTGATATTATTCCAACAATCCAAAATATACAAGCCGTAACCACATTCAATTCTTCCCCGAAATGACACAGAAAATAAATGATAAAGCATCAGCCAAATGGATAAGCATTAGAGTGTTCAATCCAATAATTAAAGGGGAAAATAAATGCTTTCCTGGATGTTATTCCATGAGACTTCTAATTTCATGACATAAAATTATACGAAGGAACCGTAAGATGAATTTGATTGTTCAAGAGTCCCAGAACATGGCAACAGAGATAACTCCAATGCCAAACATCACAGCCAAAAACTTGTAATGGGGCTTGTCAACAGAGACTGCCTTCTGAGCTGTGTAACCCTTTGACAGCAGATGGTTTATGGATACATATATGAACACCCCACATGCCAAACCTATGGAAATGGCGAAGAGCCAATCTTCTGTGGCACCTTGGGTTGTGGAATCTATTGTGATCCCAACTCCCACACCAACTGGACTCGAAATGGCGAACATGAAAGCATACGCCATGCATGATAAGAAGGGGCGGTTTGGAAGCATGCGGAGGAGAGCAATGCCCATGGCAATGGCTGCAATGATCTTGTGCACACTGACTGTCCACAAAGCCTTCCAAGCTTCTGCTTTTGTCTTGGCAACTCCGATTGCAATGCCCTCAAAGAAAGAATGGAAACATAAGGCTACGATCAACAAAATGCTGTCCCCAACTGAACCAACTGTTGCAGGGTGGTGACCATGACCACTGTCGTGGCCCTGTTGAAGCGTACAAGCAAAACGCTCAGTTAGTTGCAATTACTAATTGGCACATATGATATTTTACCAGACAGTCTGACATGTTATGTTGTGAGATTGAATTTGGACAATTGATAAAGTGGCAATATGTTTGAATGTGGAGTACTCTTTCACAATCTCGCAATGTAATGTGTTAGAGGTCTGGCAAGTTCGTTTACCCTACTAATAAATTATATTATATACATCCCACATATACAATATCAAAGCTCATGTATCTCACCTTATGACCGTCCTTTCCTGTAATAGGAAAATAAAAATTGTGAAGTCAGTATCTTGTTTAGGGTATAAGCAGAAGATATCCTAGTAATGGATTTGATCAAGTAAATAATCTTTTTCTTGTAAAACCAATATCTTAAGACTGCCTATGCAGTTCTTAGCACAAACTTATCAAAACGAAGAACTGAATGGTGCCTAATTCCTAAATGAAGAACTCATGCAAAACCACCTACCTTGAACTTCAAGGTCACTGCCCTCTTGCTTAGCATACACATAGGAAACAACACAATCCGCAAGCATAGTGATCAAGAACCCCACACTGGCCAGCATAAATGCAAAAGGGTACTCCTTCTCAGTCAAGCTTTGGAAAGTCTTGTTTGAATCACTCAGAAAGTGCATGAGAGCTGTTCCCAAAAACACACCGCCAGCGAACTGTGTGCCCAGAACCAAGAACCCCTCGTTCCACTTTAGAAGCAGTAAATTCTGCCGTCACAACTACTACAAGCAAAAGAACCAGAAGAGAAGGGACAGGTAATCTGTGTAAGAATTTGACTAGAATGGAAATAAACATTTTTGGAGATCATTAACAGTGCTGTAATAATAACTTATTATAGAAAAAATTCAAACCCAGAAAAAAAGAAGAAAAAAATAAAGGAAACTCATGTTTATCACTGCTGTTATTCAATTAGCCACATTCCATACAGGCTTCAAATGTAGTCTTCCACATTCCATACGCCACGATGGGGCGCTTCCATCCAAGTTCATTGTACTCCAAGGCGGTGACTGATTCCGCAAAACCTTTGCTATAGAGGGAGCGGAAGAAGCCAAAATCCGCCTAGTATTCTTCATGGAACCTTAGAGAAGATTTTAGCTTGGTGATATGCAATGGCGGATCCAGGAATTTTTCATTCACTTGAAGCAATATACACCACTACACGATCATTGGTGCTAACAACGCCACGATAGGGCCCTTCCATCCGAGTTCATTGTGCTCCAAGAAGACGACGACTGATTCTGCATAACCTCTGCAATAGAGGGAACGGAAAAAGTCCAAAATCTTGCTGGTATTCTTCATGGAACCTTAGAGAAGATTTGCCTCCGACAGCTTGGTGATGGGGTCTTTCTTCTCCTACCACCTTTCATGGAACCTTCAAGCTTTGCACGGTCTTTTTCGTTTACCTTGATCATAATGGAGCCAAGGGGCAAAATATTGCAAGTTTTGAGCTCCAAGTTGAGATTCTTGCACTTATGTACGTACTAATTGTTAACTAGTTGAGAATGAAATAAATGAAGTGATTATTTGCTGATATATAATTGATCAAATTAATTTTCAAGAACATGAAACTTGAACATTGAATTGCAAAAAGGACAACTTATAGGGCTATGGTTGCATAACTCAAAGGTCCTCTTAACTCGGAGGTTCCCTTACTAACATCTAGTTATTTTTATGGCAAGCTTTAAACTATATAATAACACAATTATAATAGTGTTTTCCTATTTTGAACTAGAAGTTTGTTTGAGAAAACCAAAAAATGAAAGATAAAAAGACTTACTTAAGTATTGTTGATGTCGATGTTGATATTGCTAGGAAGTTTGACGTATTAACAGTCGATGTATTAACAATGGTTAAAAGAGAGGACGTATGAACAGTGTATTAACAATGATTTGAGAGATAGTGTATGGAAAAACAAGGGGGAATTTTATTGAAGGATTGAAGGTTGAAGGAGAGTACTAAGATTTTTTTTCTTCCGTAATGCACTCCTCTCTTCAGAAGTCTCTCTTTTATACAAAGCACCCTACACTTCGTTGTTACCACTTCTTACACCAACACAATCCGTCACATGCACACACTTGCCACATTACATGCATACTTACACCTTATCACACGCACACATAACACACTTACACATACACAAGCAAACAGAGAGTCACAATTCCCATGCACAACTCACATGTCATGAAATAAAAGAGTGCTCTAGGATGACCTTTGTCTTTGGTCATGCTAACAAAAATTTCAGAACTTGGCTGCTGGTCTTGTCTTCAGGGGATGGACTTGCATGTCTATTATTTTGCTATGTATATCCATTCTTGTCATTTTGAAATTTGGTGGGCTGGTTTGGGGTAGAGGTGCTTCTTTTGGGCTTTTTTTCACATTTGCTATATAATTTACTAATGTTTTCAATGCAGATCATAGTTGCAATTGCATTTTCGTCTCAGATTCAATAAGATTGGCATTTACCAAGTTGGCTGCAAAGAAGCTGTTCAAATGACATGCAACTTTCTCTTTCTTATTTTTTTATTTTGGTTACAAAAGAGGCCAAAGGTGGATGGTGTTTAAACTCTGGCATTATTTATTTATTTATTTATAAATGTTCACTATCACTTGAGTTACAAGCCCATGTAATATAACGCAACTAAGCTAAAAATCCAAATATTCATTTTTAGAAGCATTCATCAGAATTATTTATTTATTTATTTATAAATGTTCACTATCACTTGAGTTACAAGTCCACGTAATATAACACAACTAAGCTAAAAATCCAAACATTCATTTTTAGAAGCATTCATCAGAATACTAAGTTCAATATCAAACAAACCTTAAAATTGTTCCCAGAAGCACAGATACACAAGACAAGAATGGGCACAGATATGCAGTACGAAGAAACAATCAATTCAGAGTGCATTCTTTTCTTCGGTTACATGGAGGCAGAGCCAAAAACAAACTTAAGAAACAATTAATCTAGGACAGGCCTTGCCAGCCTTGTCATCTAATAAAACAGAAATTACGCTGCAAGGAGGCTCCTCCAAAATTTGACAACCCATGTCTCTACCATTCCCTATCTTGGCTAATTCAGAAAGCATTCTTCCACTAATCACACAACCACGATGAGTAAACACCAAAGTAAACTAGTTTATTTGAAAAATTCATCCTAAAAAGTTTTTTCAAGTCTTGCTGTCAAAACTTTTATCATCACATTCTAACAAATTGTCTTGTGTATACCAGTCAACTTTGAAGCAATTGCAAAGAATACGCAAAACAAGTTTATCCCCAGCGCTCAAAGTTCTGCAGGGAAAATTCTCCCAAGGCAATATGATATGATAACAGGCCCTGCCAAATCCCCCACAGCACAGCCTGTAAAAACAAAATAGAAATTATATATATGCACACTACAACAAGGTCATACAATGGGTACTAAAATATACAGACCACTTAGTTAATTCACTTACCAATCCACTGGCCAACCGAAGGGCGGATAAGAGTGGCACCAATACCTGCCCCAATGGAAGCAAAAACTAGTGATGCACCACACTTGATAGTAGCACTTGAAACCTTTGTCGCAAGAAGTTTAAGTTGCTCTGGCGTATCAATGTCATCAACTTCTTCTTTAGACTTTATCATATGAGAAAAAAATCGGTAGATTTCAATGCCTACTTGGATGAGCCATGAAGCTGCAACACCCAGAAAGTGTCCTGCACAAACGTATAAACATAAACAGCACAGTGAGATTGAAAGTTCAAGCAACCAACAATAATGAGGCTATATGATTCTTTCTTCCCAACCCACCCCACGGCCCTGGGAATCTTTTTTATTTATTTTTGATAGGATACAAGAATTGGAATTTCACCTCTGAAAGTTGTTCTGCTAACACTGAAGAAGAAAACCAAAGTAGGCAACTTTCTTCCAGCTTTCCTCATGGCTGACTTTGGAACATCTGTACAAATTGATTGCATGTGTCAATCATATTTGCTAATTACAAATCAATTCATCCCTACTATCCTCATAAGTTTTGTTCACTTATTCTTCTAAAATTAAACTAGATTTGAATTATTACGGAAAGAAAGTACCTTTAAGAAGTTTCCATGCCATTCTCTGTGAAACATAATGGACAGCAAGTCGTTCTAGAATCCTTCTTGTAGTAACAACAGTGGTCTGCGATGGGATGCAAAAATTAACTCAATCAACTTTGTCTCCAATAGTTACTGGATGCCTTACATACACTGATAGACTACATATCCAATTGAACAGCAATGCAAGACGCCAAACTTTGTTGAATACAAGAATAAGTTCTAATCCTGAGAAGTGCAAAATTTGGTAGGTGGCTTATTTAAGTAACTACAGTTGGGGGAAAAAAAGGAAGAGAGAAAAACTCCCTAACACTATTTCAGGTGAAGGCTAATGAGCGTCTGGATGATCATTGGGCCTATGAAGCTTAGGACTTTATGCCCAATTCATGCCAAAATCCCCGAAAATGGATAAAGAGAATTTAAAGCATCACCGGTCTCCAGTCGTATAGCCATGTTACCCACCACAGTGTTCAAGTTCAAGAGCATAGATTTGTCCCCAATCAGTTAAGTATGAGGGGAAGTAACCATTTGAAGTGGTGTATGGTAAGGGGAGTAACAATAAGAGGGTAGCATAGCGATCAAAGCTTTGGAGATGATTCGACAACTAACAAACATCTGCAGCGCATTCTCAGAAACTAGCTTGTTTCGTGACCAAATTGATTTTCAAAATAAATATGAGTTGTGACACGCACTTCATCTCATTTCTAATTTAAAGCATCAACAAGCATGGAAAAAAAGGATGAAAATCCAAGCACCTAATTCTGTTGACATTTAGTCATTTTTTCAAGAAACACAAATTTCTAATAACTGCCATGGCTACTTATGATGCATAGTGCATAATGATTTACAAGTATCGTAGTTTCAGTAAGGCCTCCACAGAACTAATGCTACCAAGCACTCGCTGGATATTGATATTTCCAATGAGATATCTTAATCCTTTAATGAGCCCTTCACAGATAAAATTTTTGAGTCAAACTATCTGAAGCATATCATAGTCTGGTGTTAAGACCAACAAAGGGTAAACAGAAAAAGGCACCATGGAACTAAAGGAATTCATTGAAGGACATTCTGTATGATTGAAAGTTTTTTGGTTCAACTGTATGATTGAAATTTGGTTAACCTAAATTCAACATTAAAACAAGAAAGCAGGAAAAACAACTTGCCTCACGAACAATTTGAATTACTGATTTTTTTATTGGAACAGCGTAGTCTACATGCTGCTCTTCTTCAGTGTCTGGCAGGAAGTCATCATCATCCTCTTCCAAGTTTGAACGAGGCTCCAAAAGAGGTAAAAAGAACATTAAAAATGACCTCAAGGTTGTCATAGCTAGAGCCCTCCATTCAAAAGCTGAGAATAGAGGCTTTAACTCAATTTTGTAATCCTTGGTACTGTAATTCAGAGAGTCATTCTGAAACAATCTTTGAGATGCACTTCGTAAATTAGAAACATAGTCTTCAGACCATGCTGTTCCAGCATCACAGTAGGCAACTGGTATCCTAAAATTACTGTTGCATAGTACTAAAACATTAGTAAATGATCAAACTTCAGCCAACAACAATCCTCACAGTAATAATGAAATAAAATAATTAAATTCATTAAAGACATGCTACTGATCTTAAGATTATGCAACGAGCTCAAGAAAGAATTAATGAGGACCTACACAACAGGGACATGGAACCCAATGGCAAAGAAAAGTTTTACTTTCCTGACATTTTGTATAGGGGTTACACATCAAACTAACAATCCTGAGTTTATTCTTCTTCATCTTCAACTATATAAGATACCAAGAATGCATTATACCGCATATAGTAAACCAAACACAATCAAAAGTTTAGGACTGCCCTTAAATAGGAAATTAGAAAATACCTACACAACAGGGACATGGAACCCAATGGCAAAGAAAAGTTTTACTTTCCTGACATTTTGTATAGGGGTTACACATCAAACTAACAATCCTGAGTTTATTCTTCTTCATCTTCAACTATATAAGATACCAAGAATGCATTATACCGCATATAGTAAACCAAACACAATCAAAAGTTTAGGACTGCCCTTAAATAGGAAATTAGAAAATTAGCTTACTGAACCTTTATCCACTTTTACAATTGTTCATATCGTATAGGTCGATAACCAATTGATACAAAATCAACCAGAAATCAATATTTCCAAGTATCATCAAATTCCCATACTCAACATAGCCCCACACCCACTACAATATACCACCATGTAAACTAACGGGCAAATAACAAAATAATCATTACCCCAATTTCCACTGCTCATAGACAAAAGCACCCATGAGCCACACCACTTACCTAAGACATGTCTATATCTCTACTAATTTCCACACCAGACAATCCAATATCAGTATAGCCCAATATCCAATCCATATCATCGCAACCCACTACATATAGAACACACATATTGGAAAAAAGAACAAAAAAAATTAGAGAGAGTACCCGAATAATGTCTTATAAACATACGGAGCTCCGGCGGCAACAGAGGCAGCAGCAGCAGCAGCTGCTTTGGCTGAGAAAAACCCAGAAGAGTGTAATGCCTGGGCTGTTTGAGTTGGGTTTTTTCTCAGTAGATCTAAAACTATAGCTATTCCGGCCATTGTTACACCCTCTAAAGCAAAAAAAAACAATCCTAACCCAGCAACACCCTCAAACCAAAACCATCAAAATATAGCAAAACAGGCTTCTGTGATACTTTCCTGTTCTTATTTTCCCGGAAAATATTGCTGGTCAGGTAACGTACGAGATTTAAGAAACCGAAAAGATGGGATTTTATTTAGCAGAGAAGGAGACTAGGAGGAGGAGGGACAGTGTTTGGGGTTTTGAGAGAGAGTGGAACAAGAGACCGTCGTTGGTGTTGTCGCTAACCAATCGTCTAGCGTCTCCTTTTTCTTTTTTTTTCTTTTTCTTTTTTTTGTCAAATAGCGTTTCCTGGTTGGGCTTTGGGCTCTGAAAGTTAAAGGAAGCTCAAAGCAGAACGGTCACTCAGGCCCTAACTCACCATGAATATTGCAATTTATAAGTTCGAAGTAGTACAAGATGGCCTTTTTTTTTATTAACTACATTTTACTCCGTTTAGGTTTATTATTGAAATAGGCTTTGAGGTTTCAATTTCATCAATATGATACTCAATGTTTTTAAATATGATTAAAATATGCACTTCGTCAACTTCACTGTTTGATTTTATGTTAAATTGATGACGTGACATGTAGAATAGTCATTTTTATGCTAATATGTAAAAGAAAACAAAATGATAATGGTGTGCATAATTTGATAACAATTTAACAGAAAATCAAACAAGTTGACGGAGTGAGTAATTTGATTATTTTTAAAAACGTTGGGTTTCATATTGATGAAATTGAAATCTCAAGGCTCATTTTGATAATGACCTTATCCTGCAGGGAGTAAAATGTAGTTAATTCTTTCTTCTTTTTTTCCTTATGGTAATAACATCTCTCTTCTTTTTTTTTACTAACTTGCTACTATTGTTTATAAAGACATTGAATAACATTGTCATATGTTTATACCATAACTGACCGAGCACAAACAGTAAAAAACGGACCATAAAGTAGCGATCATGCATGTCAAAGACCCTTCATGAGCAAACCAGGCAAGCATGCCCCTTGCCAATCCAAATGGGCACACCGTCTAGCCTTCGGAAAGGGAGATGGAGCACATCTTCGACGTAAGGGATGAATAAAGCTCTTCCTTCAATAAGTCACTTGTTGTGCCGCTTTGACCAAAGCACATGTTGTGCTGCTAAACCTTAGGGATATGTGTGTTGGCATGCCAATAATCCCACATTGAAGAATCACAAGAGATGTCTCTCACTTAGTGCATCAGGTAATCATTAATTCGCACGTGTAATGTACTATGTCAAAATAATTCCCTAATCCAAACTTGTGCTAACTTAAGCATCAAAGTGCTTTTGCCCTGTACCACACTAGTGCCAAGGTTATTATTGAGTTTTTCCCTTTTACAGGTCTCAGTATTAATTGTCGAAGGACTCCATTTTTGGACATCAACATCACCATTGAGTACAGACTAAGATAAAAATCACTCAACAAAACCTTTGGCCCAAAAAAGAAAAAGTTTTAAAGCGTTTGATAATCTAGGTCATAATGTAAAATTGTTTTAAAATTTTTAGAAGCCATTTTAATAAAGGAGCTAATTTTTCCACCCCCGTTTTGTCCACTTACACTCCCTTTTGATTTTTTTTACTTTTTAATCAATTTTGTTCTTTCTCTTTCCTATTCTACCCTTATCTTGAATTAAGGTTTATTTGTAGTTATAGCTTTTGTTTGCTCTTGTATGGTTGAATTTTCTTAGCCACCAAACATGTTTGTTTTTTTGGCAACTCATGTTGTGATGGTTTAAGTGGAATGATACAGTTTGGTTAAATTAAATCCTCTTTTGTATTTGTTACTGAAGTTGTGATTATAATTTGAGCTTTGGTATTGAGTATGAGGGTTTTGTTCAATCTAATTACTCTTTCTTTGTTTTATGTTTCTTTGTGGCTACCTTGGCCATCTCTATATTTTATTGTCTTTTGCATTAAAAATTGTTTCCTTTTCTAAAAACAAAACAAAAAACAAAAAGAGCTATGGTTGCAAGGTTTATTCCTAGGGCATGAGTTTTTGCTGCTGGTGGATCATATAATTTTGCCTAGATAAATATACAATGTTAATTATTTCTTACTCGATGAAAAAAAAATTATTAAAAATGGAGTGCAAGTTGGATAATCTATATATATAAAACAAAAGGCAGAGAATGGTGAAACATTCAAAATACCCAAAAATGCCCTTGATTAATGCAAACATTAAGAATTGAAATTATTAATTAAATGAAGATAATATGGTAAATTCACACTTTTTTATATTAAAAAAATTAAAATTAAAAGAAAAATCAGATAATGGATCCTATTTTTATGGAACATAACAACCCATTATCTTTTTTTAATTCTAAAATAATTTTTTTTTTTAAAAAGCCTCTCACAGGCGCGAAAGCGCGTGCAGAGAGGCTAGTTAAGGATAAAGAAAAAGAAATAATATAAAAGTGAAGTAAAAAAGAAATTAATGTAGGGTAAGGGTACAATAGGAAAGAGAAAGAATAAAAAAGAATAAAATTGATTAAAAATTATTAAAAATAAATGGGAGTGTAAGAGTATAGTGGGGGGTGTAAAGCCAGATGTATGCTAAATGTACACAATTTGTCACTAGAATCACCTACAATGGGCAGGTGTAAATGATTGTAAAAATGCATTGCATCCGTGGAGATACAAAATTAGATGCTCATGTGCATCCTTTTTTACATCCTATGCAAGCGGGACCTGCAGGAGAAAAAGGGAGAGAGAATGTTGCAATCACTCTTCAGTCGCCATACAAAATGATGTAGAGGGCCCTGCTTGACGTCAACACACCAAGTGGTGCATTGGAATACCCAATAGCTCTATGATGAACGACTGAGATGGATTGGAATTCAAAATGCAAGGCCCATATTTCATGCAATTTGCATTGCAAAATGTTGTAGAGGGCCCTGCTTGACGTCAACACACCAAGTGGTGCATTGGAATACCCAATAGCTCTATGATGAACGACTGAGATGGATTGGAATTCAAAATGCAAGGCCCATATTTCATGCAATTTGCATTGCAAAATGTTGTAGAGGGCCCTGCTTGACGTCAACACACCAAGTGGTGCGTTGCAATACCCAATAGCTCTATGATAAACGACTGAGATGGATTGGATTTCAAAATGAAAGGCCCATATTTCATGCAATTTGCATTGCACTTCCAATGGTCTGAAATATTAGAAAAAAAAACACTTTAAACTGTTTAAAATAAATTATAATTTTCTACATATATATCTTTATGTTAGTTTGTAGGTAAAATCATATGTTCTCCAAATTTAAATTTTTTTAGGTCCATTTATTTGAAAAAATAAAATAAATCTAATACACACAAAATTAATTTAAAGTTAAAATTAAAAAAAAAAACAAAAATGAATTATCACAAACAAATCAAATATACGTATTTGGATTTACATATTTCTCTATTAAAGCAAAAAAACGCATTTACACCCCCGCTGTAAAAGTAGACAACGAAATATCTGTATCCAAACAGACACACGTGCGATACATTCGAAATCCCGCCACCGTCGAACGTGACAAAATCCCAGTAGATTCAAATTCCAAGTTCTAACCCCATCAGACGATTCGATTACTAGGGTTCATATTCAAAGAGAAGGGTGTTTGTCAAATTTTCGATTAGTTTCAGAAAAATATGAATTTAAAATAAAAAAAAACAAAAATAAATTATCACAAACAAATCAAATATACGTATTTGGATTTACATATTTCTCTATTGAAGCAAAAAAACGCATTTACAAAAAAACGCATTTACAAAAAAACGCATTTACAAAAAAACGCATTTACACCCCCGCTGTTGCGGAGGAGATGTAAAAGTAGACAACGAAATATCTGTATCCAAACAGACACACGTGCGATACATTCGAAATCCCGCCACCCTCGAACGTGACAAAATCCCAGTAGATTCAAATTCCAAGTTCTAACCCCATCAGACGATTCGATTACTAGGGTTCATATTCAAAGAGAAGGGTGTTTGTCAAATTTTCGATTAGTTTCAGAAAAATATGAATTTGGGGGACCTAAACAAGATCTGGGAAATCAAAACCCTGAAAAGAAAGGATCAGGAAGCGGAAGCCAGGAAGATTCTCGAGAAAATTGCCAAACAGGTCCAGCCCATTATGCGCAAACACAAATGGCGCGTCAAGCTTCTCTCTGAATTCTGGTACTTCATCTTCTTATTGCGTGTTTTTTTCCCTTAAAAAAATTCATTTTGCTCTGTTTGGTTGCCGAGAACGCGGTGGATAGTAGGCAACACAAAGTTTTTGGATTTTTTTTTTCTTGGGTATTCTTAAGATGATGGAAATGTATTATTCACTATGCGAACTAATCACATTGCCGTTAATTGAATCGACATTTTTTTTCTTTTTTTTTTCTTTCTTTCTATGTTTATTAATTCACAATATTGGGCAAATATTGCTGCTTAAAAATTTGGATGTAGTTATTTTTCTCCTTGCATTTTGCATCATTTTGATCGGCAATAGAGGGGGTTATTGCCAGTGACAATGCTCTATTTATGTTTCTCTCATGCCGTTTTCAATGGAAATCTTAAGTTCTCCTGCTGTTGGCATGTTGCATTGTCTTTAGAGTTTTAAGTTTACTGAAATTTTTTATTTAGCAGCGATTATATGGAGTTGGAGTGCCTTTATATGAAATTTTCACCGATAAAGTGTTTTTTTAACCCCCAAATTGGTCTTCTTTTTTGTGGGCATAAAGTGATGAAAGTTATTTGATGACATTACAGCCCAAACAACCCTCGTCTTCTAGGGTTGAATGTGAACCGCGGCGTGCATGTGAAACTGAGGCTGCGTAGGCCAAACAGGGATTGGGATTTCTATCCAATTGATCAAGTCCTTGATACAATGCTTCATGAACTTTGTCACAATGTTCATGGCCCTCATGATGCCAAGTTCTACAAGCTCTGGGATGAACTTAGAAAGGTGTTTTTTTGTTGACTTTTCATAAATTTTTGTGTTTACAAAGACGTGTTGAATTTTCTAAGACTTCATTTCTTTGTAGGAATGTGAGGAGCTGATGTCTAAGGGAATAACTGGCAGTGCTGAGGGGTTTGATCTTCCAGGGAGACGTTTGGGGAGTTTTTCACGTCAACCCCCCCTTTCTTCTCTCCGCAAAACTGCACTTGCTGCTGCAGAAAAGAGAGTTCTTTTAGGATCTATGATGCCATCTGGACCTAAGCGTCTTGGTGGTGATAGCAGTATTATGGTTGCACTTAGTCCAGTGCAAGCTGCTGCGATGGCTGCAGAGAGGAGATTGCAGGATGATATCTGGTGTGGTTCGGTGTCAGCTGAAGCTTCTACGGATGGAGAATGCAGCTATGATAAATCAGAGGACCATCAAAATATAGGGCCAAATGCAGGAAGTTCAAGGCCTCCCAATGGGGCAAAAGCACATTCCTCAGATACGTTATTGCAAAAAAGAAGTCGGGAACTGAATACCAATGGTTTTTCTAAATCTACCAAATGCAATTTAGGATCTGAGTTGGTAGATTTATCCATGCATGAGTCAATATCTGGGTCCATGATTGATTGTGATATCAAATCTCAAAAGAGAAGTCGAGGATCAGAAAATAGTTCATTCTCTCTTTCCAATTGCCATCTAGAATCTAGTGTTAGGCATCAGTCAGGTGTTTCATCTTCCGGGTCCATGTCTAATAATGATGGAACACATAATCCAGAGGAAACTGCTCTTTGGCAGTGTGAAACGTGCACTTTGCTGAATCCCGTAAGTGTCTCTATTGCTAGGTGATAGTTTTATGCCTTTACAAGTGCATCCTTTTTTTCTTTTTAAAAAAAAAAAGTTCTATATGAAATTATTTCCTTTCGAGTATCTCTAAAGAATAATATTTCCTTTTTTTCTCTTAATGTTGCAAATTTTCTCTCTATCTTAATGTTACTTGAAATATACTTGTTTTGCATGTGAATGATGGGTGGAACGCTGCAGCCATTGGCTCCAATATGTGAGCTCTGTAACACAAAGAAACCAAAAGATATTGGTACAAATTACAAAATCTGGTCCTGTAGATTCTGCACTTTGGAAAACTGTGTGAAGTTGGAGAAATGCTCAGCATGTGGTCAGTGGAGATACTCACATGGCCCACCAATAGCAAGCCAGGCACCAAATCTGGGCACTTGAGGGGCACACCAGTAATAATCATTGGCCTTTAACTTGTAGTTTTTGAAATCGGTTGCCTGATTACTTTTCTTTTTGGACTTGCCATTTAAGTTGTTAACTTGTTATTAGCTATCTTATTTTTTCTTACTTGGCAAGACTCTTTGCATCGTTGTGAATTTTGGTATAGATTGAATGAAAAATTAATTGTTACATCTCAGCGAAGCAGATGCGGAACTCTCTCTCTCTCTCTCTCTCTCTCTCTCTCTCTTATAATGTTGGGTATTGCACATGAATTGGCAGCTTAATGAAAAGAGGTAAGATGTTAAAGTGGAAGCCTGGTTAGAAGAGATTATGATAGTGCTATCATTGACATGATATCCCATACATACATGCAACTTGAAAATAGAATTGTCTGAAGTTTAAACCAGAGTCATTGTGAACTTCATAATATATTTTTTCCTGTCAAAACTCAGAGATTAGAGAGATCACGTTCAGTTATGAGGCAAATATGTGAATGAAAACATAGGATAACACGGATAACAGTATTCTTGTTCTGGATTCTTGAATGCATCGAAGAAAAAAAATTGCATGTATATATATCATATATTTGTCTATCCGTCAATGTATCTAACAGAGATAATAGAACTACTGTTCGGACGCATATTATTATGCAGTGAGAGAAGTCCTGTCTGGTCATGTTTTGTCCTTGTGGTTCAAGGAATGGGCAAAGGAAAGTTGGCGTTTCATGGTGGGAGAACTCGAGTATATCTGGCAACACTTTTCTGATGCTGTAGGTTTTGCTCCCTTTTGTGTACAAAATGCAGGGGAAGAATTCAATCAGTTTTGGCTTGCACTGTAACAGTGGTAAGCCAGAAATAGAGTGAACAATTTCATGCATGACTCAAAGGAAGACATTGATGGAGCAGAGTTTGAAAGCTTGGTAAGTATGTTTTGGGGCTTCAAGTATTTGATGTGTGGACTTGGAGAGTTGTATTGGTGCCTATATTAAGTTGGGCATGGACTCTATAACTCTTGAAAATAGAATGCAGCAATCCGATTTCTACATGCGCTAGCAAACACAGCAAGACACACAAAGCTTTATGTTCTATCAAATAAGCTTAGGCAGCCAGCTTCTTTTCTAGGGCTAAAATCCTAAGAGTGTTGCTATTTCCACCCCCATGTCCTATTTTCCCACCCATCCTATTTTCCCACCCACCATATAAATTTGAAAAAATACAATCTTATCTTTCCACCCACCATTATTCCTAAAATACCCATTATCTTTCCTCCCATCAAGTAAATAATAATATATTAATTAATTAATTAATTAACAATATAAAATACTCCAAAAAAGAAATTATTTCTCTCTTTTACCCGATCCCCTCCCCACCAATTTCATCACACCCCACCCATCAAACTCACCCCCTACAGCCCAGCACCCTAGCCACACAACTCAACCCAGATGCTACTCTCTCGCTCTCTTTATATATATATATATATATATATATATATATATATATATATATATATATCTCTCTCTCTCTCTCTCTCTCTCTCTCTCTCTCACACAGTTGAGAGGTGCAGACTTTGAGAGCCTAGAATTGCTGGGCTGATTCAAATCTCAGTTAAAGTCCCTTCATTTTATTAATACTGAAAATTTGGGGGTGGATCTGCTTGGCATCTTTTGATTGTGGGGTGGTGACTATTAAAGAAACAAAGAGGGAAAATAGAGAATAAGGAGGGGTGTGCCGGTGGAGGCGAAGAGACAGATGATAGGATGAGGTGGAGTTCATCTTTTTAGTTTTTTTAACTCTTTTTTTCTCTTTTTTTAAATTGATTTTAATGTTTTTGTCCTAAGTCCTTAAAAGTCATTTTATAAAGGTATAAATTTGTCTTTAAAATTTTGAAAATAAAATGGGTGGGAAAATATGACAGGTGGGTGGAAATAGCAGCACTCAATCCTAAACGCCTAGACAATATATTTACTAACTATATTAGACCCTGAGCTCAAGGAGGTAAAAAAGTCATATAAAACGCCTAAACATTTTATGCTCTTAATAAACTTCCTCACAACAAGGGGCTTGTAGCTCAAGTGGTTAATAGCATTTACTTATACATTTGAGGTTAAAAATAAATAAATAAACTCGCTCACATTGTTAAGGTTCTTTATAAATAAATAAAGATAATAAATCCCAAATTTTTGCAAACCCCATTAAAATTTAAACCATTTATTCATAAAAATAACAAAAACAAATCAAACAAAATAGAGTCGCCCTGGCCTGGAGACCAATAAGATTCAGGGGCTTGTACTGCCAACTAGTTAAACATCCGACCTCCCCACTAGTTAATCTTACAGTAGCTTGTGCTGTTGCTGCCAACTATACCTAATCTTCTTGTCTTGTGATACAGCTGCAATAACTTCAAGTGGGACTCTTATTAATTAGTGTGGTTACTTTTTCTTTTCCTTTTTTTTATAAGGTAAAATTGAACAACTTCGCCTTCTGTTTTTGGCTAGCATCATGTCTTTTTTTTTTTAATGAGGAAAAAGACAATGACACGAACCTAGACCCATGGGGCACGCAGGCCCGAAAAGGTCAAGGTAAAAAGAGCTTACAACAGAAAGAGGAAGACTATCAACCAAAAGCTTGGAAGGGGACATAGAGTGTCCCAAGGAAGCTAAAGCATCAGCAACCGAGTTTGCCTCCCTGAAAGCATGTTTAATCAAATTACAAAAAGAGGCCAAGTGTGAGACATCTTGGAGAAGCTAAAAAAATACTCCAGGGGGCAGAGCATTTCTTGTTAACAGCATCAATGACCAATTTGGAGTCACATTCAATTATGATATTGCGCCAACCATGATGAACTGCATGAGCAAAATAGATACGATATGAATAATTTCTTATATTATTCTTCTCACTTAAGAGGTTTATATACACATATGATAACAATCAATTAGCATAAATCTAAACTACAATTAAACCTTTAATTAAAGTAGTCAGACTAATCATGCCCCACTAGCCCACTAGTCCACTAGTCTACTAATTCTACTAGTTATGCCACTAGTTAGACCACCCCTCATAGCAAGGCATTCAGCCACAATAATGGAATTGTCTCTAATATTTTTAGCACCATCGAGTAGGGTGCGGGCATTGTCATCTCTAATTACAAAGCATGTGGTAGCAACTCTATCAAACTAGAGCAAAATAGATACGATATGAATAATTTCTTATATTATCCTTCTCACTTAAGAGGTTTATATACACATATGATAACAATCAATTAGCATAAATCTAAACTACAATTAAACCTTTAATTAAAGTAGTCAGACTAATCATGCCCCACTAGCCCACTAGTCCACTAGTCTACTAATTCTACTAGTTATGCCACTAGTCATGCTAACACTCCCTCTCAAATTGGTGCATAGATATCATGGATGCTCAATTTGTCAAGTGAAGAGTTGAAACTCCTACTTGATACTGCCTTTGTAAAAATATTGCAAGTTGGTTCTCAGTTCTCACAAAATCCAAGCTAATTATCTTATCTGTGAGTTGGTTTTCTTTGATAAAGTGTCTATCCACTTCGACATGCTTGGTATGATCATGTTGAACTGGGTTGTGTGCAATGCTAATTGCTGCCTTGTTGTCGGAATAAAGGTTCATTGTTTTTAAGGGGCTGAAACCTAGTTCCTCCATCAAGATCTTCAACCACAACAATTATTGAACTCCATGTGCCATAGCTCTGTATTATGCTTATGCACTCAATCTGGCACGACAACTTGATTCTTACTTCGCCAAGTGACTAGATTTCCACCTATAGGGGCTTTTTTTTTATATTCCAGCAGCTATAACCTATAGGGGCTTTTTTTTTTATTCCAGCAGCTATAGATGGGCCTGGGCTGCTGTAAAGAGTAAATGAGTGGAGTTGCCCCTGTGCCTGAGTTCAAGAATCAGGCCCCAAGAGTGCTTCCCTTTGCAACTTTTCGTCTTTCTTTTTTGGTATAGAACGTGACAAATACAATGATTAAAGCTATATAAATTGGAACATATGTTGACTATTCAAATGTGCACAAGGAATCTTAGTATTTAAATATTGTAAGGAATGAATCATTTAGCTTTAATCTTTAGTTTCAATTGCAGAAGGTTATATGTAATATCACTCATGTCTTTTTGTTTAATTTAATTAATTTGTGTTTCAATTGCAAAAACCTTCAGTTCATCTACTAGTCTTATGTCAAACGCAAGTTCAACTCCTACACCAACCTCTGCACAAACTGTGGATATTTCATCAAATGCTATTCCCTCACTTCCACCACTGAATAACTTAAAAAGAAAAGCTACAGCTTGGTCTAATGTGTAGGAACATTTTGATAAGGTAAAGAAGGAAGAAGGTACAAATGATGATGAACCTAGGTGCATATGTAAGTATTGTAAGCAAGATTGTGGATGTGACTCCCGTAATGGTACTTCTTCCTTATGGTATCATTTAAAAACTACATGTAGGACATCTCCACTTAGAGATGTCAAAAGTCAAAAACTCTTATTGTTTGTCAAGGAGGATAAAGGTAGTATAGTGAGTTGGTCCTTTAGTAAGGAGAGATCTAGACTTGCATGTGCACGGATGATTATTCGTGATGAGCTTCCATTTAGCCATGTAGAGAATGTGGCGTTTAGAGATTTAATGCAAGAAGTCCAACCAAAGTTTGATCCACCATCTCGTAAGACAATTGCTAGAGATGTGTGGAACCTTTTTCAATTAGAAAAGGGTAAATTCAAGAGTGCGTTAAGTCACCCATCACATAGAGTATCTATTACCACCGACACATGGACATCTCTTCAAAAGATAAATTATATGGTTGTCACGGCTCACTTTATTGATGTTGATTGTCACTTGCACAAAAGGATTTTAGGCTTTTGTGTCATTCCAAACCATAAGGGTGAAACTATTAGAAAGCTTTTGGATTATTGTTTGAATGATTGGGGTATAGAAAAAGTGTTTACTATTACTGTTGATAATGCTACTCCTAATGATAAAATGATAAGTTATATGAAGGGTAGGTTGACCAAGAGCAAGACACTTATGTTTGGTGGTGATTGTTTGCATGTGCGATGTTGTGCACATATTCTGAATTTAATTGTGTTTGAAGGGATGAAAGAATTAGATAACTCCATTATGGCTATTACTAATTCGACGAGGTACATCCACTCTTCAGCCGCAAGGTTGGAGAGTTGGAGAAG